TTCTACATTCAACACAGACGCTCTCGCAACCCAAATCCTGACGTCAGTTTGGAATAAATGTCATTTAAAGAAATGACATTTATGTATGCTGTATGCATTTTGTCCATTCCAAAGTTGTGAGTCTGTTCCAGCCAAAAAGCTGTCTTTAGTTATTAACATTTGAAACGATGAAGGCACGTGAAAGTAACACAAAATTAGCTGCTTTTCCAGAAAAAGACAAAAACTTCTCAGAAGTACGTAAGGTTTTGTGAGGTTTTCCCACCCAGGCTTCTAGACTTCTGATTGGCCAACATTTCCACACGGTTAAGATTTGGCGTGTTCTTGACAGCGTTTCAGTTTGTTTTTAGCGTTTACATGTGGAAGGAGATATTTTTTCAAAACTGCACATGTGGACTGGAGTTTTTTTTAAACGAAAAAGGAAAACGTGCGTTTTCAAACATAGCCGCGTACGTTCGGACGCAGCCTGAAGTCATCACAAAAAAAGCAAATTCTCTGAACATGCTGAGTTGAGGTTTACTGATCATTGTTGTTGTGTTCCTTGTAGTCAAAATGAGTGCAAGTGGAGACGGATCACACAATAACCGTCATGGTAAGCACATGTGCTCAGTCTTAAAATTGATGAAAAACAGATTTTCAGCAGATAGTTATGAATGCTAATTAAAAGATTAAATGATCTTGCAGGCCGACAGGTTAACCCACAAAGGTTTGAAAGTGGAGATCAGGAACCAGCTAATGAACCAGTTAATGGACCAGTTAATGGACCAGCTTTCGAGCCTATTCATGGACTCCGGGGCTTCCAGATCGATCTTTATTTTCTTCTCAATGATATGTTTTGGATGCTGAATGAGCTAATGGATGTATTAGTGGAACAATATGTTAATTACCGTCACAATGCCAATGACAATAATGTCAACATTCAAAATATGAATGTGAGGGACAATAATGCCAATGCTGACAACAATGAACAGCACGAGGATCATAATGCTGTTGTTGTTGGTGGCATTGAAAATGAGGATTCTGATGAGGCATTTGAAGACTGTGAGGATGTTCACCAGTACATCCCAGAAGAGGATCCTCAGCCAGGTGTATCCAGGAGGAGGTCTAGAGAGATGGATGAAGCAGATGTGGAACCAAACAAAAGAATCAGATGGAGCGAGGAGTTTTCTGATGACGACTCTGACTTCTTCTCTGCTTGTGACACTGATAGCGAGGGCTGTCCTCAGCAGGTAACAGAAGAAGAACCGCAGCCTGGTGGATCCACGAAAAGGTCCAGAGAGGAAGATGTAGACGAAGAAGAGCATAATAGCAAAAAATCCAGGCTTGCAAACTCTGATTCGGGGACCAGCTCAGCTGTGTACGACCACTCTGAGAGCAGCAGTGATGGACTTTTTGAAGATGCACACGAAGAGCTTGACAACCATGAAGCTGGAGGCTCGAGGAAGCGTTCCCGAGAGGACTTTGAGGAAGAAGAGGAATACTTGCCTGTTTGCAAACTTCGGAGGTGTTCAAATGAGTCCAGCAGCAGCAGTGATGAAGACTAACACTATTTCGACGGGTTTCTTCAGTATCCTTTTAGTAGGCTGATGGCCTACTCAGGTGACCCTGAATCCTCCATGCTGCAATAAGCTGGGCATACACTGTGCTGCGATTTCTTTCAGTCGCGTTATTCAGCTCCTGCTCAAACTGTACGATTGACTCGCAGGGGTGAGAGGTTTGTGCCTCCATCGCGTGTGTCCAGATCACACGCCGCACCGCCGTTCGACTCCATCTTTTCGCTCTCATTTCTGCGTTTGTGCGTGGGCAGTGTGAGACGCTGCGGTGACACCCTCAGGACGACCGGCAGGATTTCAAACAGGTTTGGTTTTCTTGCGAGCAAACGATTGATGATCGGGAGCTGGTCGTGAGGTTTTAATCGCTTCTCGTTACCCCGTTACCCTCGTTATGTAGACGATGCACGACACACGATTAAGGCCAAACTCGGGACGACCCCCAAAACGGTCGCACGACTGAAAAATCGGCTCAAAATGGGCCAAAAAGAGCACAGTGTATGCCCAGCCTAATGCTGCTGGGGGATTCCCATGATGCACTGGATGTGTCTTCCTCACCCTCTATGTTTAACAGACCTCTCTGTATTGAATTGTACTTGTGATTAACCTCTGGCTCTCTTCCACAGCATGTCTTTATCCTGTTTTCCTTGCCCCTCCCCAACCGGTCGCAGCAGATGGCCGCCCCTCCCTGAGCCTGGTTCTGCTGGAGGTTTCTTCCTGTTAAAAGGGAGTTTTTCCTTCCCACTGTCGCCA